CCATCCAAACCCCTCCCCTCCCCCAATCCATCCATGAAACTCCCATCATCTCCATCATCAAAACACCCACCCCCCAAAAAACGAATACGAAGAAATAGCCAGGTAGATCAAACGAGGAAATAAACCAATCAAAACAAAACAAACCCAAACAAAAAGATAAGTCTAAAAGGGTAAAAAAAAGATGCATTTATGATTGAAAACCCCAGAAACACCAAACAAAAAAACGCCCCCTTTGTGTATCCCCAAGATTTCTTCTTGTTATGAAAACCTAAAAAAAAAGATGTTTCGAAAGCCTTCGTACAAAAAATCCATGATTTCCAGCTAACGACAAAAATTCAATCCCGCTCATTAGAAACGCCGTGTAAAATGCTACATGCTGCATGACCGCTTGTTTGCTTGCTTAGTCGGAAACTCCTCCTGGACCTCCCATTCCCTCTTGTTCTTCCGTATTAATTTCCCTTGGAGGCGAGGGGGTGAATTCCTCCACTCCATCATTTCCATAATCGCGAATCAGATCCAATAGAACTTGAGTATTTCGTTTGATATCTTGAGGTCGGGAGACAATCTGACGCTCCAGAATCAATGCCTCGGCCGTGAGCATCCATATGTCTTTCAGATGTGGTTGGTCGGGGACAAATTGAGCCAGTTGGTTTCGAGTCAGTGGGCTCATTGGTGGCCCGTTTGAAAGACTACTGTGATATACGAGGTTGTCGGTTGAGTGGCGTCTTCGAGCAGCGAGGCAAAATGGCTTCACGCAAAACCACTCCTTACAGCCTCCTGCATCATGGCCACTCGGTCTATCACCTCCTGTCTTTTCAACGACCGGCACAGTCTTTTTCCTTCCAAATGTTGCTAGTCGTGACATCTTCGTTGGTTTGGGTGCAGGTGCAGATACTTCAACCGGAAGTTTGGTGACAACCCCATACCAAATATCTACGGCTTCTCGTCGTGTGTTGTATCCTTTAGTTTCCCAAAACCTCTGAGCTTGCCGTAGTCCTCCAATAGAAATGATTGACGAGTAGACTTCATCCGCCGGTCGGTCTTTCAAATAACCTTTGAGTGTCTTTTCCAGAGTCCCGACATATGAAGGTGGCCGCAATCGTCGTGAGAAGGATGATATGACTAAAGGAAATACTTGATGCACATGAAGTAATGTTTGATCATCATACATTGACATCACCTGGCTCTCAATGGGATTCAAAGTGTAGGGAAGCTGTTTTAATGGGATGCCACCCTGACTCAGGTAGCTTGTGTGAAGTTCGCGATACTTCTCAAAGAAGTGGAACAGGGTAAAGACAAGAGGTAGTAATCTTTGACACATCCGTCGATACATTGGCTCAAACTCCAGGCGTTGAGCTTCGGTATTCTTGAGAAAAATTTCCTTTCTCGCTTGCCTTGAAATCATAGTAGAGAGTTTTGATGCTACATGTAGTCGATTCCATATTCCACAGAGATAATGGAGGTTAATAAATTCTGGTTCGGGTACTGGATATAGGCGTAATGTGTACTGAGGAAGCGTGTTTGTAATGTGATATCGCGCAATTGGAAATTCATTGAGGGTAACCAAGGTATGGAAATTCTTGGACACCAAACGAAGGTCGAGAATGGTATGTATAGGGAGGGGTGCAATGATCTGGGCTTGAAGTTCATTGGGCAGAGACAGAAAGAGGTCACTTAGGGTAATACTGCTATATGGTCAGTGAATTCTCGGTCATGTTAGCTGATGTATAAATACCTAATTTTAGCATTCGGGTCCTGCGCCCGAAGTTCATCGTGGTGTTCGTTAATGGTTGTTGGTTTGTGAGTGACCGTAACCCTTGATCGTAATGCTCCAAATCCGCCAGTAAAACTAGGACGCCTCGACGTTCTCAATCCTGTGAGATCATGACCCAGAGATCTTTTCTTCTGCTCGCTCGGTCGGAGGACGAGCGTGGCATGCTCATTGTCGGCACTTCGCTGTCTCCCTAGAGGTAGGGTAAAGGTCGTTTGTTGTGCTAACTCGGGCGGGATTTCTGGAGTTGCCGGAACAGAAGATGATGAAGCATCGGCGGGTTCATTCAATTGCCTTAATTTACTGAAGTATCGCTCCGAGGCGAATTCAGTGATGTGTAGAGGGTCCATGGTGTTCTGCACTTGGCTCCAATGCCATTCGGTCGCAGTCTGCAAGAAGGTCGAGGATCATGCAGCATATCAAGGTTGAGGGACGACACACTCCCAGCACTGGAAGGTCGTTGAGGTTGCGGCGGTGGTAATCGGTGTGAATGACTTGATCGCACAATCAATGCTCACGCATTCATGGTGGTCCTCGAGGGAACCCAGCGAATGTGAGGGGGTGGTTGGTCGTGGGGGGTTCGAGGGCACCGGAAGCCAACCCAAGCGAAGATGTCTTTGGGTACGAGATTGAAGCGGGAGTGAGGGTGTGCAGGTGCAAGTGCAAGTGCAAGTGCAAGTGGGAGGTAAAAGAGCGTGACTTGGTGTCTTTGGATATTGGGCTGTGTTCAAGGTTGTGATAGCCCAGGAGACGATCGGATGAGGATGGGTCGGTTGGGGGAAAGCGAACAATGGCTTTCGAGAAGTCTCGTTCGTTACAGGAGATGCCGCCTCTGCGTATATGTAGTTCTCGTGGTTTAATGAAGCTATTCCGGGCCGTGTCGAGTCGATTCGGACGGTCGTCGAGGGATGGAAAGAGTGCGTTCGTCAACAGATGTGGTGGTGGTGTAGGTAGTGGATGTGGGAGTGGTAGCGTAGCGTCGGTCGCTAGTGAAATAGTGGAGCCCGTGCTTGAGACAGCATCAGTTGGGCCCAGGGCTCACTATCGGTGCTTCTGGCTCTTCTCGGTCTCCTTGTTCAGAGTGGGGACCGTGGTGAAGCCGTGGACCCGCCGCTGATTGGGTTCTCGGCCTTATTCTCGTTGTGGGGAAACCCTCTGTTTTTGGCCGTCGAGCCGTACGTAGCGTTGCAACCCCAAAATGCAGCTGCAGGCGAACGACTGTGTATGCCCGCATGGCCAAAAGCAGCACTGGATATCTCAACGATGCCGGTACATACGCAGACTCATCCTCGGTACGAAAGTTCTCGTACGGTCATAGTTAGACTTTATGTAGTGGTGAGCAGCGTAGGCGTGGGTGTGGCCAGAGGTGTTGCGATCCGGAGAAATCCCCGGAGATGACTCTTGGAATAATCCCGTACGGAGAGCGGAGGTACCAAGTAAGGTTGCCGGTACGTGTTAAAGCTCAAAACAACAACTCTACTTCTACAGTACATAAAGCTTGGTCAGGTATGCTTTATATATACTTTCCATATACTCTAAATAAAGATAGATGACCAATAAACAATAAAGCTTAAGAGTCACGAGCAAGTGCCGCTTTCCATTTCCAGCGCCCTGCGAGTCCTTATCAAATGGATCATCATCGCAATCAGCAATTCGCGTGCGTAGTCCCATCGAAATAGTCTTTTTCCGTCCTTGTTTCGTTTCGCCCAAACAATCTGATCGGATTCTTTTTGGCGTAGCGAAATGGTCGGACGGGGTGGCAAAAACCCTGCGCAGCTCTGTGATTACGACTCCTGTACCTATCTATCTATACGGCCCGAAGTGCGCTTGCAACTCGCCGACGGCAACCAAAGAGTAATGCAAACACACCACCACTACTCGGACGGGCCTATTCTTTAAAAGTTTTTGCCTGCAACTCCCTCACCACCGAACATCGCCATCTGCACTCGCTTGCTCCATGGTTCAACAGCATATAGCACTGTACATGTGCGTGTACCGGTGTCTTTGAGAAAGAGGGGAATCTTGACGAGTAGCCGGCAAAATTGCTTCGATCTGGGAGGGCAGATGCGGGAACTGGGTAAATAGGGCGTTGGCGTTGACCTTTCCAGGTGGATCTCTAGCAAATGCGGCCTGCCCAGCAGTCATAATGAGGCCGAGTTCCAGGTTTGGAGCCACTGCACTACGACTTCAACATCACCCATGAGTCTGCGATGAGAATTGAGAAGAAGCTATTTTGAGTTGCGCTTGGAGGTCTCGCAATAATACATTTCGCCGTCGAACTGCCGCATGCAGGTTCACAAACTAAAAGTACTCGTGTATGGAATCATGTTTTGCTGAAGAGTGATATCGTAGCGGCATGATGTTTGTTGGATGCTCGGTGTTTGAAGGAATCAGAGCCATCGTAGGCGTTTGCCTAGAGGCATAAACCACCTGTCTCCACCCCAGAAGCACTCGCTGTCTAGGAGTTGAGGAATAGCTGACCATGACAGGTCTGTTTGAAGGAACATATCAATCTCCATCCTGCGCGGAAAGGGCTTGTTGCAAATGCCAGACCAGGCACTTTCACACACCATCTCTCGGCAAGCTTATATAAATGCGGTGTGATGCACCCGCGTTCTCATGCCTCTGGTGCCCAGTATGTGTGTTTGTACCTGTTTGTGCCTGTTTCTGTTGACTTGCTTGTTCTCGTTGGATGTCAGATGAGCAGTATCAGAGTGCACGAAGTGGGGTGACACTTCCCACACAGAGCTTTGCCCTTCCCACTTCTCCATACCCCAAGCTCAACCCCATTTTTTCCTGTCTCCATACATAAACGACAGGCGACTGCCTGACCTGGAAACAACCTTGAATTCTTGTTGCGTCAGAACTTTCCGGCAACAGGAGCAAGTGCCGTGAGAATCAATATAATTTGGATAATAAGTGAAAGGATTCAACCCAGCTGCCCACCTTTGGCGAACCGTGATCTGCAATAGAGGTGTAGGAAAGGGAGGAATTCATTGCAGATACGGGCCCTTCTCGGCCATTCTCTCGTGCGTGGGAGGAAGAAAGCTTGAGTTGTGGACCAAGAAAGGCCCAGAAATCCCGATTCTCCCATCTCACACACGCGTCGACGGCATCCAAGAATGATTGGCTGCAGAGGAGGGAGGAGGAAAGGCAGAAAGAACGAGAAGTTGAGACGACGTGCTTGAGGCTCCGGTGGACGGGTCACCAGGGATTGCAGAATTTCGTGACTTTTGTCGCAATACGATATATAGACCCCTGCGACTCTAATCATTCTAGAAGTAGAAGAATGCAGGAAGGGAGGAAAAGGTTTCGGTCCCGTTGGTTCATGTTTCAGCCTTTGCTTCGTAAAAGGATTGAAGACTTTAATCTGAAGTCAATTGTTCGAGGCAACAACAGCAATCGTAATCGTGATCGGCTACGAAGTTCCTGCAGCCCCTGGCGTGTGTTTGGTGGATATTGACCGCTCGCTGATACTGCAGACAGCGGACCGCACCACAGTGATCCGTGAAGGTTGGTTGGAGTCGCACAAGGTGTGATGTGATATATCTGATATATGAAGCCTGACTGGCGCGCTAGAAACTGATTCAAGCGGGTGAAAAAATGCGTCAATCTTGAGTCATTCGATGATGCGACTCTTGAGCTTTGCAGATCTGTTGTTGTGTTCAATAATGTCATCGTAAATTTACTCAAGCGAATTCGGCGTTGCCGTTGAATTTGGGTTTTTCTTCTTCAAGAATGACGGCAAGGAACTGGATTGCCTCTGTTTTACATGCCAATAAGAGCTACCGCCAAGAAAACGGGAGCGGAGCGGTATCTCTTGGTAATTCATCACGTGTATAGGTAGTCTATAGGTACCTAGGTTGGATCCACCTCATCCATGATTCGGCTGATGTTGCAGGTGAACACATCCAAGCGATCTCTCGTATCTTTGACAATTCCAACCTCACAAAGTAACCAGTAACCAGTCCTCGTTCATATGGTCTTGGCCTAAACACTAGCCACACCTATTCAAGTTATCACTGGCGCTTCGAACCCTTGTGCTTACTTCAACGGCTTTTACCGACCATCCACAAGCCCCTCCTTCAACAACCACATCCACCAAAGATTTAGCTTATCACACATGGTAGTAGAACAAGAACCTGTCGATCAACCTTCAACGTTCCTCCCTCGTCGATTTGAGCATTCTTCTCCTCTTCACCCGTATCACCACCCCTCACTCACCCCGCACAATCATGTCCCCTTCCCCGGCTTTTCCGCCCTACCAACCACATCGAAACTCGCAATCTTTTGATCCCAATACTCCACCTGCACCTCCACCAAAACCAAGTAGTCAAGAAGTTAGTCGACGTAGTACACCTGCTGGGACACAACCCTTGCCTCTGCCCCCTCCACAGCCAGACACCATCGGTAGTCAGAGACCGGGGCCAGAAGATCCCCAATCACTACAGCATGCTCGGTTCAACCCAGGAAGAGTAGAATCACAAATACAAGATCCTGGGGAATCATGGCTTCCTAAAATTTTGGAAGACAAAACGTATGTGAACTTACCATCCACCTGATCACCTTTAAACTGACTTTACTACTTTTTTAGAAAACAAGATATCGCTGACGTCTTGGCAAATCCCGGTCTTCTGGCCGCTCTAGCACATTCAACTTTAACTGCTCATCCTTCCATTGCATCTGCTCAAGAACCTTTGCAAGCCGCTTTGGACGAGAATATTGCTCTTGCTTCACATTTGAATGAACTGGAAGCACGTCTGACCCACTTGAGGTTATCCACGCAAGCACAGCTTCTCTCAACCCACGCCTTGGAGCGGCAATGGAAGCAGAAACAATCTGAAATGGATCGAGCCTTGGCACCGTTTGGACAACGATCCCTTCACCAGATGCTTAGCCAGGGAATACAGGAGCAAGAAATGGTATGTCGTGCTGTAGAAGAAAGTTTCCTGGAAGGCGATGGCGATACGGCAACTGAAAAGGAGGTTGTTGAGTGGACCAGGAGGTATCGAGATGCAAAGAAAACCTACTATTCTCGTCGGGAACGGAAGGAGAGGTGGGATGAAGGTCGTGTCGGTGGATGGAGATCGTAAAAGCGGATCGAGACGTGGTTTGAAATTATTCGACAACTATTTTATTCGTCATCATGCACGATTTGTGATGTTGTAATGCCTAGTACCCAGGAAAAGGCTACCTTTCAACTGCAGAGGTTCTTCACGAATTTTTCGGATCCGCTTATCTTCTCAGAGGCCACCACCGATGGGATCGCCATGTGTACGATACCAAATAGGTCTTTTATCGGAGCACCAATGCGAGATACGATGACGTATATCGTCATTTGTTTTCATGTACTCGAGTACCTGTATGTCTTTGAAGGAGCGACAGAATCCAAACGAGTACTACCAGAGAAACTCACAAGTGGTACACCCGTTTGTGCCTGACCTTGAGCCGTGCTTGCTTTCCCACGAACACAGAGTCCGACGGCATGATGCAGGAAGCGCAGAACACCAACAATAACACCGACGTCCAACATATCCTGAAACCATTCTTTCCCCAGAAAATGGGAATCGCACAACTGCATCGCGATATGGAAATAGAATGATCACAGCATGGAAAGTCTACCAGCTAGTTGCAACCAACCAGCCGGTCCAATATATACTGTATATCCGAACTTGACGTTTGCTTTCTAAGTACTGTACCGAAATAAGGAAAATACCTGACTGACTCCTATCGCTGCTCCCGTGCGAATTCTACTTTACTTTCGAGTCTTTGTTATCGTAGAGTACACGCACACTGCTCTCCTCTGTGTAATGAAGAAATATCCCCTCTCAACCCCCCCCAATTCCCCACCTCCTCATGTCACGTCTCACAAAGTACAGTATGAAAACCCCTCTCCTACCCATCAACCATCAACCATCTCCCTCTCCACCATCTTATCTTCCTACATCCCATGAGCCCTGTGCCTCCCCACTCTATCCTCCAAATCTCCCCAAAAATAACCCCCATCATCTACCATATCTCACCCATCTCACTCATCTCACTCTTCTCACTCTTCTCACTCTTCTCACTGACTCTGCTCCATTAATACGAGAGAGCTGGGAAGGTCGGTCATGAGTGAACAAAGTATGCACTACCATATGTACCGATACCTCTCTCGTGTAAATATACCTACCTACGATTCTGAATCAGAATTGGAAGTCATTTCTACCGAAGGTACTGTCGGGATTGCGATTGGTACTGGTATCAGCTGGGATTGGTGTGGTCGGGTGGATTTACTTGTGTAGTATAGGAGGATAGGGAGGATATAATACGATATGGTATGGTATTTTTATTTTAGCTGTTCTGTAGGAGTAGGGGGCAGTGGGTGATATCAGGTCTCTTATTAATTTACGTATATATCTTTCTCGGTTCTCAGGTCTTTCAAAGGTCTTTCTAAGCTCGTTCATTTTCGCTCCTTCTTTGTCTTCTCCTTTTTCTATCATATAGTTTCCGGTCCCTGATTAGATATTTCTCGAGTTTAGGTGTAGAAATGTATGCTACTACAGTCCTTATATAATTCCCTCCGGTATTCATCCTCATACTTATACGTATAATCGCTACCTTACTACTCTCCTACATACAGTAATACATATATATGGAAGTATTACATCATAACGCGTCTTATTAATGCTCCCCAGGTGTCTACCGTCCAAGCGTCTACGGATCGGCTAGCTTTGGTGTAGACTGAACTGGTGGTATAGGGTAGCCTCGTGGGATAATAGTAAATACTATAGTCTATAGAGTACTAGGGATATTTGGTTGTGAGGGGGTTCAATCGTATATTACTAGTTAGAATTCTAACGTAGCTCCTATCACTTCCCTTCACCTCATCCCTTTATAAGTAAATTCCATCACCTCAAAACCACAAATAAGTAGCTAATAAACCTCTCCCCGGTAACAAAATAAGAACATACATTCCCAGCCTTCATAGCTTAGTAGTATTACCATATCAGCACCCTGGGTTTCCTCGTACGGTGGCATACTTCCCGTCCGTAGAAATACGGAATCATAGTACTAGGCGCGAGGTATACTACGTAACTATAGGTTTCCCCTCCCCTCCTCCCCTCTTTGAGATTTGCTAGCGTTGGTATTTTTCTGGGCCGATTCTCGTATATCCTTTTGGTCTTTTTTTGGATGGTTTTCTTGGGTTGTTTTGTTGTTTTGTTGTTTTGTTTTGGTGTCCTGCTTTCTTTCGCTTAATACCTACCCACCATGTACCCGTCCCGTATACCACCCTAACAAGACCTCAAACACAATACGCTCTCTCACTCTCTCACTCTCTCACCCTCCCATCCTCCTTCCCTCTCACTAACTCGCACCTCCTTCCCCATCAGATCCCCCAACAAAACCAGCAAGTCCAATCAAAGAACTACCTTATGACCGCTCTCCTGTCCGTTCTCCTCCTACCCGCGCCAGCTTTCATACCGCTAAGGTATACTACAATATAACTACATCCAACCGTTAGCACGCTACATACACGAGAAACGTAATCTGTCTTATCGAACGAACGGGTATCAAATTCTTCAGGACCTGCGGATCCCTGCGGATTATATTTTTGAATCTTGATAGTGGAGATATACAGATATACAGTGGTACCTCGTTTGTACGAGGTATGGTAGGTATCTGGAAGATGAGAGATGAGAGATAATAAATGAGAGTCGAGGTGGAAAGAGTGGTAGGGATAGGGAGGTACAGGTGGTATACTGCTTTTTGGTAGAGTTACTACTCTATCTATCTATTATTAATTTAGAAAAAAACCTAAGATAAAAAAAATATATAAATATGAACGTAAATAAAAGGAGGGCATATATATAAATGCTATACTATTAACGCCAACCCTACCTACCTACAAATTCACCAACTAACCAACCAACCAACCTCCCTCTCATCCATCCATCTCCTATCTATGGAAAATACAGACAGTACCTTCCCCCACCACACCTTAAAAAGGAAAGAAACAAGCAAAGATAACAAAAACGCCAAGATATGCCACACATTAAAACCGCCCTCCTTCCCACACCCTTAGTAAGTTAAAGAAGAGAGAAAGAGAGAAGGAGAGAAAGAAGAAAGGCAAGGTAAAAAGAAACCTCGCTAAATAAAAGCCTACCTAGCTACAGTAGTTACTTCGCTCTATACGGTACGTACGTATGTACCCAAAATCTATCTTAATAGAAGATATATGTATCCCAACCAACCAACCAACCCACCAACCGCAAATATACAAATAATCCAGTAGCCAAAAAGCCTCCCAAAAAACCCCCCAAAAGAAAACAGTAGAGAAATACAGGTAAATAAGAGATAGACAGAGGAAGGTATTTTCAATTACCCACCAACTTCCTACTAGCTCTTTTAATGATGTCCGCCGTCTTGACCACCTGCTTCTGCGCTAGTTCCCAATCCCTGGCCTCGATCGCGTCACGGATGAAGGGGAAGAAGGATGTCTCGTATCCGGAGTAGAGCTGTGGACCGAAGACGACGTGTTTGAATTGTGTACGGTTCGGGATCTAATTGTTTGCAGTTAGTATCGAAACAAGAGGAAGAAAAGGAGGAGGGAAGAGAAATAAACTTACACCACCACCCTCTTCCAAATCCAAGAGGTGAGTTTCGAAATTCGCCATCCGGGTGTTATGACTCTGTCGATGAGCTGACAGGATGGAACTTTCAAAGCCGCCACCTCCCAAAACAATGGCATCCCATTCATCCTCCCACTTCTCGAATTGTCGCGCGTCAACCGCAAATTGGAGAACTGCTTCCCGAAGAGGCTCAATGGACCAAGGGTTGCCTTCGGAATTGCTACCTTTGTTCTCGACGTAGTTTTGAAGATCCTGTGCCCATGCAATCAAGGAAGCAGAATAGGCAGCGATATCAAAAGGCATGACAAGTCTATCCGCGTACTCAAGGATAAGAAGTGCCCAAACCTGTGCCAGCATTTGGTGATATGTAAATCCCGGATCGCCAATCTCCGACATCCACTCGAAATTATCAAAAGCAGAATGGTAGGGAAATTTTGGACCTTCAAAGCCAAAGTCGAGACTTGACGTTCCGGCCATATCTTGGAACGCCACATAATCGCTTCCAGCTCCGAGCCCCATAAGCATTGATTCTCGCTTATCCCATAACTCTCTCAAGGTAGCGTTCTTGAGGGGATCAGTGACTCGATTGAGGACTCGGAGAAGGGATTTTTTGAAAACAGGGCTTCCCGCTGCCCTGAAATCTGTACCTCCTACAGCAACATCGACGTTCAGGTAAGCGAATCCGTCCTGTCTCAATCTCTCCATATCACCCTCGACGTATTCTGTGGACCCAATCAGATTGTATTCTTCCCCATCCCAGGAAGCAAATTCGATAGAGCGAAGTGGGCGCCATCCCTTTGAAACGAGATCTCCAAAGATACTAACAACCTCAAGCATAACAGCAGTTCCAGATCCTGGATCTGTAGCTCCGTAAACCCAAGCATCGCGGTGATTGCCAACAATAACGGCCTTCTCTTTTTGCTCGACACCAGTAATCTTGCCCATGACGTTCCAGATTGGCTGTTCCTCCACTTCGTCTTGATCGTTTACAAGATGAACCACTGGGCCTGACTTGTCCCCAATCCAGTATTCGGCATCAGGAATACCGCCTTTCCACTCTTCTGGGGCAGCTTGCCCAACTCCCTTCAATGCTTGAAGTAGAAATTTAGCATCTCCCCAGGAAAGCGGGACACTTGGAATGTTGACAAGTCCAGGGTTATTTTCTTTCGGTATTCGCGCAGCCCCCTCTACACTGGCCCATCCAGGGGTTAGAGCATCGCCTACAACCCAACTCATTAGACTGACCGCTCCCCTTTGGACACCGAATTCTGGCATAAATCGGCCCTTTGGTGCGACCTCCCCTTTCACAAAGCCATCATCGCCCGGATCACTGTAGATAATACATCCGATAAAACCAACGTCCTCCGCTGCCTTGACTTTTAGAGCTCGATCCCCTTGACTCCCGTAATACCGTACCAACGCAATTGCGCCCTTAGTCTCAATACCACTATCGTACAGTCTTTTATAGTCTTCCCTCGATCCGTAATTTGCGTAGATAATCGGCCCCTTGACGTCGCCGCTTTTCGAGTGTCCATGGAAGACTGGTGTTTGCTGTTTTGGAGGATCCGTGTATATCGGGTCCTCATCAATCTTTGCAGACCATGTTACGGCCCCGTCTTTCCCTAGTATCTCAACCTTTCTCCCTCCAACTTTAGGGAAGTTCAAGTATACTCCAAATTGGTCTTTCCTCACTTCTTCCAGACCTGCATGTGCAAAGGCCGCTTCCACGTACTCTGCGAGCACATAATCACCCTCCGTCCCTGCCAAATGATCATTCTTCGTGATGACCTTCATGTGTTCCTCTATTCGGGTAGCACTCGCAACCCTCTGTACGTGTACTCTTACGGATTCCGGGTCTAAATTAATTAGATTAATACATTTTGAATTGAAGCTTGACCTGAAGGACGTGAACTCACCAAACATTTGCCCCGCCATTCTTTGCGCCGCATTTGTAAATATATCACTGACAAACAGCAAATACACAATCCCCATAACCAACAGCAAGGCAAACATCCTCCCCAGAATAATACAGAAATTCGCATCAATTGTCGGCCAACGTATCCTCTCCCTCATGCCTTCCGGCACATGTAGATTAATCCTCCATTTCCACCTCCATCGAAAGGGTAAATGTAACGACTGTGAGAGACTCGAGATTCGTTTCCCCCAAGCCGACTGTGCCGAATTCCTTGGCTCATCCTCCATATCCAACTCATCCATCTCCCTGCGCACTCGCGCCTCCTCATCATCGCTGTCGCTGTCCCGTGGTTCCGCATCCTGATTGAGAAACGTATCGTGCTGCTGGTCCATACTCTCACGATAGTCCTCCACGGACGCAGGAGGTCGGTACCCTTGCCGTCGTGTGGGCTCCGGTATGCGACCATCGTCTCCTGCACTTAGTAGTCCCTCCCTCTCCGCCGGGACTGCGGCTTCATTGGCTTCATTGTTGGACGCGGTCGATGCCCGCGATGAAGACCCGACGGCCTCTTCATATGTGGGAATCGGTAGGGGTTCGTATTTGTATGGTTTCTCGTCCGACGGCATAGCGAAAGAGGGGAGCGGCCAGGTGGCCCTCGAGTCTCGGTGGGGGGTATTTCAAATGATTGTTGGTATTTCCGCGTAAGTGAAGTTTGCTCGTCAGGCCCGCTGTATCGAGAGTCGCATAATGCGATAGAATGAGTGGCGGTTTACGTGTATATCGAGTACGAGTATTCGGTTTACTCCTGGATGTTCGTTGCTGGTTCCCGGCAATGAGATGCACTTGGTGCCAAGGGGGTAGATAAAACACCAACGGAAAGACAAGAACCAGATGCTTGGTATTTCAAAGAAATGATGAACCAGTATTCAATTGGTAAATCGCTATACAAAATGACAGTACATGAACCAGGCCAAGGCTAGTCAATCATAGTGAATCACTTGGGCCTACGAGTAGTTGAGATCACGTACCTTGGGTACGAGACTAGGTAGGAGGTATATTTAGATCCATTGGTCATTGAACTCTACAAGGGTCTTTGAGACACGAACACACGAACCCGAAGCGAACCCGAGGTCACATGACCTTACTTATTTTTTATAGGTAAATATAGGTAAGTACTTCTCAATTACAGAGCGTCTTCTCTCAACTATCTCCTAATCACCCACCCGGTCATTTCAAAAACTGCTCAGTCCTGAATCATTCCACTCCTTTGCTACTTGGGTATATAGTCCCATCGTAGCTTCGTGAAACTGGCCTCCGTCATTCCTTCCAAATCGTACATTGAACCAGCCGAATTCTCTGAACTCCACATGATAATCGGATTACCCTATTTTCCTTACTTTGGTGCCGCTGTGATAACACCTTCATACTCTCTGCCAGCAATTAATTCTATCGTGCGCTGGAAATGACGTTTGGGATGATCCATAGTAGCTGATTCTTGGTTGGTTTGAAGATTGGAATGGATGAGTTCAATAAGACCATTAAGATATTTGGTCGTGATCTGATTGTGTTAGTTGTTGCGTTTCGTTCGACCAAGGGTATTACATACTGCCTCATTCTGTTGATCAAAATAATAAACGTATCGATTTAGAATCTCGACAAAAAGCTCGACTGATACTGCCGTATCCATGCAAGTATCCGCTACACGAAGAGCACGTTGTAGGCATTCAAGAACCCTCTTGCCATCTCGGTAAAGCTGCAATGATTTAGCGAAATCTTGGAAGGGAAGTATACAACCAAACTTACATTCTTCTCGTCGCCCTCTTCTTCGCCCTTTGCAGCCACGGGCACAGCCCACCACAAATGACTTGCGAGATAAACTGCTCTGCACTGGTCAGGCTTCTTGAGTAGCTTACTGCCATGTTGAGCACACTTCGTGACCAACGCATCATAATTTTCTCTGCTGAAATTTCTACTTTCATGCAGTGCTCCTGCAATGATCGCGACCGCTTGGAATTGTGCTTTCGAGTCGCTGATCTGCTCCTCATAAATCGTAAAGGCCTGCACGAAAAACTCATAACTAACAGCCTCTGGTCCAGTCTGGTCAGTAATCTGGCCAGAGGCAACGAAGAGGCGTATACAAAGCTCAGCCGCACTTGGCACACGAGTGCTTAGAGTGGAGAGGGAAGCATGGATGAACTTGTAAAGAGCTGATAATTGTGTCTCCCAGTTGTCGTCGTAGTGCTCCCTTGCTTTATATCTTCTGGCAAGCTTCATCGCTGCCGTGATCAATGCTGGTGTGGTGAACTTGGTGCGCTCATTGCCCTCAACATACGCTTTCCTTGTCATCTGGAGAAGTTTGAATTGAGTGTCGTTGTTATCGCTGTGAATGAGATGAATTATTCGGGCGAGCCAGCCCTGTTCTTCTATTGTCTCATCCGTTTCCAATGCTTTTCTTTGATTGACACCCGGATAACCACCAGGTTGCTGACTGCCCTCCTTGATAAGAACTTTCAAAATCTCCAACACACCCTCAAGAGATGCAAGTGTCGAAATTGTGGTTTGATTACGCTGTAAGCTACGTGCTACCTCGCCGGCTACAGCTCTGCGTGTGGGATATGTTTGCGAGTGAAGTAATGGGATGTAGGTTGGAAGCGAAAGAGCTGTGAAGAGAGAAACGTAGGACTTCATGGGCGCCAGTAGCAAATTCAGTAAATTGGTTTGAGCGTCTGGAGAATGGAGGTCTGCACTATTTGCGTGTTGCTTGACTTTCTGATTCGCGTAATCCAGAATTTGATCGACATAATCAAGATGATCTGGGTAGATATTTAGGGCAAGATTTGCGAGAGAGACCAAAAGTGCCGTAGTATCTTGGATGGGAAGATGCTGGGCATTGACCAGATTTATTACTTGCTCAAAGAATATCTCGTAGAGCTTGATACTATCTGGTATACCTCCGCTTTTGGTATTATCCGCTGTATCACTTCCGTTGATGGCCTCTTCTGGTTTAACTTCAGAAGAATCGGCTTCAGGTTGCTCTGATTCGGCCTTCTTTGTAGAATCTTCACCATCGCCATTAGAAGTAGCGGCTGGGCTGCCCTCGCCATTCGTCTCGGTCGATTTCTCAGGCGCAGGAGAAGTCTGTTCTGCTTTCTTCTCATTTTCCAAATCAACTTTTTCTAGGAGTTTCGCTAGTGCCTCCTCTTCTCGCTTTTGGCGGTCCTCTGGTTGCTCTGCGTCTGTTTCTCGTGCTGCATACGATGATAATCTATCCATCAATGCAATCACAATAACCTTGACATTTACATGAGGATTAAGGCGGGAAACCGCCGCTAAAAACTGGTCGAGGGTGTGTAGGTGGAACTCATCTGGGAAAACTTGTGTGATGACCTCGAGAAGATACTCTTGAGCCAGCACATCTCGACATTGCACGACCTGTTCCAATAATGGTTGTAAAATGGCGTTCTTGTATGTTTCCAAATCTACCAAGTGACTCAGTCGAACGAGGTTGTTCCCCACGAGTAGCTGTAGCTCTTTCCGCTCCTGTGTCCGTAATTCCCTTTCTCGTGAATGTCCTTGGTGTTGTAGTCGTACCCAAAGCTTGTTCATCTCCACAAAATTGGTCAAGGTAAAACTGATTGAATCCTGTAAATTCCCTTCTGGCCCCTCGCTATTTCCGGTAGGGCAATTCTCTCGAGCCTGCCCAGACAGATAGTATCTCAGGAAAAGCCCCCGGACAGGATGCTGAACTCCTCTGCTCATCTCCATCATATCCTTCATAATCTCTTTGACCGGCGCATCAGGAATAGACATGTAAACAGTCCCGACCGTTATCATCAAGTATAATCGAGGTATGATGTTGCCCGCATATTGGACCAGTTCGTATAAATCGGCCAGATGATTGACGGGATGCGAATCTTTGAGATAGGCAGATAGGTGCCGTAGGGCGTCAAATACGCCCATGTAAAGTTCATAATACTGTTTTGGTCCGAGGCTACTAGTTCGAAGTTCGGAAACGAGTGTAGAGCTGCGGAAGAAGGTCAGCGGCGTCTAACAGCTACGGCAGATGTTGGCGCAGGTTCTGCAAGCTGGAGGAAACCATCCAAGGGGTCTCATACCTGCATTTCAGTGCGTCCATGAGCTTGCCCGGAGTCTCCAGGCACTTGCGCATCAGATGCGTCTGCTGCCTTACCACCGTCAAAGCATCTTCCAGCAATCTGGCTTGGTCTTCCACTATCGGAGGACTGGCCATGTTGACGATCTAGGAGCAGAATATGTGCGCAGTGGCTTGTTGAAGTCAATCAGCACTCATCGATGTTGTGCGGCGTGGTTCAAGTATGGCGGGCGATGTGGAGGTAGCTTGCTCAAGGTGTTGATGGAGATATCCAGGATGCGCTCGCAAAGCATAAGCATCCTACGTTTGCCGTCATCGGCAACCACAGGCATCACAACACAACCAACACAACACCAAAATTTGGCGACCCAAGCTTTAAAGTCACAAGACTTGAAAATGCACAAGTAATTTCATTAAGTATTATCTATCTAATCACAATTTGAGGAATCAATCTCTTATTATCCCAGAATTCCGTTCAACGCCAATTTCGTATGCTGCGCTCCCAGCTCTTGGTGCGCTTATCGTTATGCATGCAGTATGCTCTAATTCATAATATACAACAAAGTTGTCACATAAAAAACCTCTTGATTGCCCGGACAGCCTTGCTCTCTGTCGTCAAATAGGCATTGCGGTCGCGTTACTGTTCTGCTTGGTGAGCTAATAGTTGACCTTTCGATATGTATTCGATTCGCTTGTTCAATTTGACCCCTCCTTCCAGATCCTCAGAGCCGACAACAGGGGTTGAAACGGGCTCGGAGCTTGTTGGCGATTGAGTTGCAATCGAAATTGTCTGAGCGCTATCTGGAATGGCAATTCGGGTAGAATTTGACCATCCAGAATAGATTGTGTGCCATTGGCCGTTATCGGGTGTAGCCTTCGTAGTGACTGGTGATGAGGTGCTGCTGCTGCTAATAGTTTGAGGTGTAGATGATGTGGTTGGCGTAGATTCCGTTGAGGATTTAGATACAGATGGAGTTGCCAATGGGGTTGAGGAACTTGATGAGCTCGTAGTGCTTTCTTTTGCCGAAGACGAAGGCGGAGGCGGAAGAGAGGTGGGAGTTATTGACTGCACAGAAGAGCTCTTGGCAGAAGTAGTTTGGACAAGAGAGCTTGTAGAGGTTGATATTGCAGAGCTCGGCTCACTCGAGGTAGTCGAGGTCAATGAAGAAGATGTTGACTCGGTACTTGAAGGCGCAGGTGCTGGAACTTCGATAGTAATTGGAGGGGAACTGACATTGATGACTGAGTATCCTGTTATTGTGACGGTAGTTGGAGAAGGCGTAATTGTTTGGGTATGGTCAGGGCCCGAGACAGTTTCTGTCAAAACGACAGGAGGCAGAGTAGCTTTGTCGGTTTGGACAACTGTCTTTGGAGGGCTTGTTTGTGTTTGTATGATCGTTGTGACCACTTGAGGTGTACCATCCCCGCCAGTCCCAGGAGTTGCCTCTGCTCCTCCATCAACGGGGACAACAGAATATGTAGCCCTTGAACGTAACTCAGGCACATGGACAAGGCGAGGAGATAATGGAAAGGCTGCAGACAAAGTAAAAAGACACGAGAGAGAACAGAGGAGCCGCATATTGAAAGATTGTGTAGGGAAAATGGAAGTAAGGTCCAGAATGAGAAATCAAGACTGGGATGTGAAATCAGGCAGTTCCTACCCAGAGTTTCAAATTGAAATATTATGAAGTATGGAGAACTTACTGGGAATCTTACCAGAAAGTCCCAAGAGATATATGTGGAGATCCGTTTAAGCTATTATGGTGGCTGGGGATCAAGATATGTGCGAGTGGTTGGTGTTTTGCGCAAAAGTCGAATGGCTGGGAACATCAATGTGCCGTGCGAACTATCGCAGAAATATCCAAACACAGTTAGGGTGCGGCACGGGTTGTTGGTATCCCATGGAAACGAAAATCTGAGCATGCATTGCATTCCATTGAGCGACCAGGATAAATATAGTGACAATACAGGAGTTGTGATTCGGGTAACACGGTTGGAGTGAGGGGAATGAAGCTGGAGGTGGGATGCATCGGAGATAATAATCGATCACGTGTTCTGATTTTTAACCCCGAACCTATATTTCTACTCCTTTCATCATTGCAGAATCCTGGACGATTTAACGACATACAGCATCCTTCCAACGCAGATGAACGGTTTGATGTATGGGATCAAATCGCATACGATTCCACGGCCATTCACATAGGGGAACTTCTATCCGTACCGATCAATATGGCCTAACTAGCCTTCGCCTCTCAGGAATGTGTTCGTGGAAATGTAATGGAAACATTATAAAGAAGACAAAATTGCTCGAAGTCATCACTGAGTTGGTTCCAGAAATCCTTCATGATCGTCTACTCTGTGTCACAAATAAGTTGTCAATTATATCTCTGCTTTCTAGGCTATCCCGGCCAGCAACAGGCACAGAGTCATGATCTTATCCACTTTCCAGCCAATTCGTACAGTACACTGTAAATGGTTCCTTACACGGTGTCATCTGCTACTGCCATGGCAATTTGTGTGTGTCGCAGATGTTTCCTCTTGTTTGAAGTGTTAGAAGTTGTTTCTTGTTTCCCAGTTTTCTTTTATAAATGTAATTCTTACTCCCTCTACCTTGTGTTGCAAACAAACACTTCATCAATTTTTCCTGTTTTCAGATGGTAATCCGCGAGCATTTCTGTACATTTGCAAGGAAATTACTCTGAACTTCACTCTAGTAACACCCTTGAGGGAGCCCTTGAAGGGTTCGTTTCTCAACTAGATACATCACCAATCCCGTCCAAGAACTCCTTCTCTCATTATTCTTCCTCTTCTCTCTTCATCTCTTTTCGATGCCCAAGCCCTAGAAAGCTTTCAAAAGTTTCAGATAGCAGGGCCTATCGAATAACTGTTGGACAATCTTTAATCATCATAAAGCCATGGCGGACCATCAATCTCCCCTGATGCGCTTACCGAGGGAATTGCGACTCGAAATATACAAGCTCCTTTTCAACGACAAAAACCACAAAGCCCTCGATATCCGAAGCGACGACCTCACCACTTACCGTCTCATCTCAGATGTAGAATTTCACCCCTCCATCATGGGCGTCAATCGCCAAATATACGATGAGCTCTCCTTTCTGCTCTACAGTCGACACAGCTTTGGTTTTGGGGAAGACATCGAGGTCATTGTCCCATTTCTATCCAATTTGAGAAGTCACACCCGACCACTCATCAACGAAATATCTCTTTTCAAACAGATCTCTATTTATATTCATGCCCAATCCGATCAGTGTGAATGGAGCAACGTCTGCCACTATCTCGCAAAAAACATGCATTTGAAGAGTCTGAAGCTGATCGTGGAGGGAGGTCGACCGAGCGCTGGTTGGGAAGGGATGCCACAATATGATTTATCGGATTTTCAAACACTACACAGAGCGAAATATGAAGCATTGGAATGGGTATGGGAGCTGCTGTCGATTCAAGGCCTTCAAAAGCTGGAAGTTAGCTCAGGAATACACCATTGTCCCCGGGCGCGGTCATTACCGTTGGCTTTCTCCGCAGATTTTTCAGCATCCATCGAAACTGAGTTAGCGGATTTCTTGAGATCGAAAATGCTTCCCAAATCGTGATTGGGATGAGGTTTGAGGAGGAGAAGTTGTGGCGCTTCTAACGTCGTGCATGTTCTAGCTATCCCTTCCAGAGTATATAGGGTGCCAAAAAAACGTGCACTAAAGAGTAGATAAAGTAGAGTTAAGGTGTCTACTTTCGAAGTACTTTACGCGTACGTACGTACTATAAATACTAATTATAAATATAAGTAAGTTATACTAGAACTATAAAAAGGTATTAAAAGTTATATTCGAGATACCTAAACCTCCTAAACAAGTAAATATATGGCTATTCTAATATTATACGTATATATAATATATATAAAAACATTCCTAGTATAGTAGAATAGGACAAATACCATACTAACTAGTTATTTCTCTTAGGTTATTATCTAGTATTCTAATAGGTACTCTATAGAGTTTTTTCTATTAGCAAAGGTAATAATAATATCTAATACTAATAACTATATAATTATAAGACCTTAGTATAGAAACAGGTATAATAAACTAGTATAAACGCCTTATAGTAATAGCAGGAGCGGCTAGAGGGGGTAGTAGTCCGAGAAGTCCTTAGATAATCAATTCTAGGAAGACTTAATAACTACGTTAGTTTTTATTATTTCGTCTAGTATAATAAGTTTCTAGTTCTATACTGTCACGGATGCCAACAAAGGATAAAGTGTATACAGCTTTTGAATCAATTGCTAGAACTAAAACCGTAGGTACGAAGAAATCAAACTAAAGAGAGAAGAGAATCTGAAAGGAGCGAAGTTATTTAAGTTGTTCAAATGCCAAGTCTCGTCACGTGCTTGGCCAAGCGAATGAAATCCTGTCAAATGAAATCCAGCTCCGTCACATATACGCTAGAGAATATAAGAGTTTAATATAGCTATATTAAGTAACTAAAACTAATATAGTATTTAGTTATAATAAGTTATTTATTAGTAGCTAAAGTTTACTCTTAATTAATCTATAATATCTACCCTACCTATATTATGGTTATAATTGTTAATCGGTTTAATTATGGGTAATACGAGTCTAGAAGAGAAGAAGCGTTTTATAAGCCTTTGCTTATCCGCTAGTAGGAGTTCGAATATTCGTCTTATAGTAGATTTTATAGTAGTAGAGTCTTTTCGTTTATATTAAGGGTAAATAATATATCCCAAATAATTATAAACTATAGTTATTAATTATATAATATGCTAGTCTTACTAAATAAGTAGGAGAACTATTTCGCCTTTATCCTTAACGTAGCAAATAGATCTAACTTCTCCTTGGGTTATTAACTTACTATTATTCTTATTTACTATCTCGTCCTTAAAATAACCCTATATTCTATTCTATCGTACTATACTAACTACCCTAATACTATAAGTTTATAGTATCGAGAAGAGTTCGTAGGTCGTAAAGAGATTATCTATAAATATCGTAAAGAGATAGCTAGGATATACTTATTATAGTGTCACGAATCACGTGTTAGCATGCGACGAGTTAGTCCAGACGGCATTCTGACAGGACAGATACAACCAGAGTAGTTATACCATAGCAGTGGTTACTCAGGGTTGTTGAGTATCCAAGGATTTCATAGTATTCATAGTCACGTGATGGAAGCGCGACAGCGCGACCGAGCGAGCTGTCGCAGCACGTCGATCGAGTAGAACGACATTTGGAGAACGAAGGTTCTATATAAGACTGGTACATCTGCCATTAGATAGGAGCTTCGTGCTCAACTTAGTTATCAATCTTATCATATTAGTTTGACATCTTTGATACAAGTAACGAGTTCACTTCCAAGTGAACAACCCGATAGTCTTCTTCTTATCATAACATACCAACCAGCGAACACCCAGCCAAGTTTAGTTAGCCAGTTTGAGTATTCGTTACATTTTAATAGGTTCAAAATCGTATATAATCTTTACTAAATTAATTACTACCTTATATACTTTATATAGGTACTTTTACTAATAATTAGTACTTACGCTAAATAATACTATATCTAAATCGAGGTCTCTATATATAATTTATAACTAGTTATAAAAGTTGTTATTAAACTAGTATAGCGAAGATTTAATTTGTCAATTATTAATTAGAGGAGGTGGTCCGAGGGATTCTATACTACGATTTTGCCTTACTACTATAGCTTACCTACCTTTTTATATATATTAGATTAGTATAATAGAATAACAAACAACAATATATAGGTGATTTTTCGAGCTCTTTATAGTAGTAGGGATAGGGTTCTTAGTTAGGGCGCTCTTTTACCTACGTTCTTAGTAGAGCGGCAAAGCGTTATAGGCGGGGTAGTGTAACGAATACTCAAACTGGCTAACTAAACTTGGCTGGGTGTTCGCTGGTTGGTATGTTATGATAAGAAGAAGACTATCGGGTTGTTCACTTGGAAGTGAACTCGTTACTTGTATCAAAGATGTCAAACTAATATGATAAGATTGATAACTAAGTTGAGCACGAAGCTCCTATCTAATGGCAGACGTGCCAGTCTTATATAGAACCTTCGTTCTCTGTCGATCATCGCAGAGCGACAGTCGGTTCGACCGACACCAACAATGGTCGCTCGGTCACGTGACTACAATACAATGAAATCCATGGATCGCTTAGCTACCTTAAACGATCCCTATTTGCTATAAGAGATACGATAGTGCTTAACCTGTCAGGGCGCCGCCTGGTCTTCACTCGTCACATGCTCACACGTGATTCGTGACAGGTAACTTATTCTACGAAACTTGTACTATTTTGTAGTATAATTAACGTAGAAAGAGCTTAGTTTAACGTAGTAATATTCTAAACAGGAGGGGATAATAAGATATTAATATTACTAAATCGAGGGGGTGTTCTAAAGCTAGAAGAGCTTAAAAGCTTAGAACTTAATAGCAAATTAGGTAGAGTACTTAAGTAACGTATAGTAGATATATAGTAATATTAGGACGATTTTGTAATAGAAAAATAAAGTAATAATTTCTATAGAATATTTAGATATTTCTCTCTATATTTATATATCTTACTATACGATTTGATATATCAGAATATATAGTAGTTAGAGACTTCTCTTAGCATCTTTATTACTACGTTTCTACGTATTATAGTATAAGGTTCCTAGATCTATATAAACCTATATTCTAAGTATTTAAGCCTTAATTCGACCTAGTCATCGTATCTACTTTATCTACTCTTTAGTGCACGTTTTTTTAACACCCTATATACTCTAGAAGGGATAAATAAGCGAGCGAGCACGGTCAGGCTATCCGTTCTGCCGCTACTCTGCAGTATGCTTCTTTCCTATTTAGATAGCATGTCACCAGGGCCTTTTTCCAGCCCCAAAATTTCCATATGGGTTGCACCTTTTCTTTCGCTCAGCTCCAAAATAGACATAGACGACAGAGACAACGTCTAGAGCAAGTTTCACAACAAAATAGACGATCATAGCCAACAAAGAGAAGGCTTAATTACGTATATCTTCCCCGGCACTTTTAAAGTTTATACCTCTCCCTAAACCTTAATCGCGGGGTCCGTACAATTCCTTTAATTGCTCTTCAATTTCCAACCAATAAGCCAACAGTGCTAAGAGCAAACTATAGCGGCCAAGACCACGATGTAAGAATCATCGGCAACATGGAAATGCCTCTCTCCCTTCGGACCATTTTGAGTTCCAGAATCCAGACAGCCTCCGGTGGCAGGAGCTGACGTCCTTCCAGCTGGCCAAGAGCCCCACAAAAACAAATGAGCATCTCGATTACACCAATTCGCTTTCATCATCTTCGTGTCTAAATCTTTCTCGCGACGACGCGAACCCTCTTTCCGGATCTCGGCGGGTAAATTTACTTGTTAGTTTTTGGTGGGAGGACCTAAGAGGATTGTGAGTATATTGGCAGGATTTATAGTGAATGAGGATGAAGGCTTAGTAAGCTACTCGCATGGTGGGATATATATCCCACCCCACTACTGCCACATGCCTCAACACCACCACAATATCCACCATATCGTCAGCTACACTTTTGTGAGCTCTTTTGTCCCACCCACATTCCCCTCGCTAGAAGGCTCGCCTTGCGATTTGGGAGGGTTTTTGGACCGAGTTCGTTGTGTATTTGTACTTCTTTGCTTAGGTATCTGGCCGAAGTTATCGCCCTACTCTATACTTTGTGTTTCACCAGATAGAGCCTTCGAATTAGTCTATAATATAGTCGAAGTCCGAGCACTTGGCTTGTACCTTTTTATTAGAACTTTATGTTCTTTCTTTTACAGGCTAGGTGCTTGTTTATAAGCTGCGTGCTTGCTTGTCCCACCCACATTCCCCTCGCTGGAAGGCTCGCCTGGCGATTTAGGAGGGTTTTGGACCTTGTACTTCGTGTTTCGCTAGATAGAGCCTTTTAATTGGTCTATAATGCGGTCGAAGTCCGACTACTTAGCGTTTAGTTAGTTAAACTGCCCCCGCAAGGGGTGCGTAGCCGAGGGTGCTTATACTTCGCTTTCCACTTATATATGTGGGCGAATTATAAGCACTTGAAGCTAGCCAGTAATACAAAAGAAAAAATAATAATAAGCCTTATTTGATGTGACGTGTACCGACTGACGATTGAACATAAACTATCTTTTTTATCACCCATTTGGATTATGTTTTCTTGGAGAAGGATTGAGGAAGGGAAATCGATATCTTACCACCACTTATAGCTACAGACATGGATTCTGAGTTCGTATACGTACCGATTCTATCCACTGAACATCGCAGATCAATAATAACACCATCTTAGTCAGAAGCCACAGTATTTCCCTTTTTAGAACTCCCTTTCGAAACCCGTCATCAAATCTACACGTACCTCCTCCCCCCTCAAGCTCACACAATAACACCAAATCACCCTTCAACACCACCCGCTAAACAATTCTCATTACAAAAAGAAATTCCTTACGGGATAATATCCACACACATATCCTCTCACCCACCATACCACGAGACTTCTCCCCCCCTCAATCCCCAAATCTTAAGAGTACACTTGATCTACTACTGGTGTGTTATCCTCGAGCTCAAAGCATTGTGTTTAGTTAGCTGAACTACCTGAATCGAGCTATTCTAGGCCTATGTACTTATTGATTCAGATAAGGTAAGCTCGGACTAAATCGATCGTTTCGCTGTCATGCGTCATGTCTTCGTTTTTTCTAGTCCATTTTAGATTTGAGGTCACTAATAATGCTGTATACACCAAGAACCTACCACCTAGTGGAGTACCGCATAGTATTCATCCATCCTAAAGGTCACATTTCTTCCTCGACAGATTGTTGTGAGTTATTGCTCCAGGTTCCATCATCAAGCATGCCATAAACCCTCCGCTGTATTCTGTGAATATTACACGGCATGTAGACATGAGCCGTAACGTACGGTACAAGTTCAACTTGTATAGGGCTTCCTCGTCATCTCAGTCATTTTCTCAGTCCCAACTAGTCCAAAATCGGACAGATTAAATTCGCCCGTGTCGATATCTCGAAACCCGTAGTGGGAATACAAACGCCGACCCTGTTCAGAAGCTTGAAGATAACAGGGTAGACCAGACTTCTCAGACATCTCAATTCCCCATTTGACTAAGAGACTACCAGCACCACGCTGTCGGTGTTTGCTTGAAGCGACAAGGAGCGCCAGAACTGTAGGTATTAAGCAGTAAGCTTGCGGATCACCAATTTTTACCATACAATATGAAAAGCTTCATCAACCTACGCAGATGGGGTCGCTTTCCCGCCTCACCATTACGATGGCAGAAGTACTCATGAGCCGCCTCTCTCAAGAGGCCAAATTGATCCACTTCCTTGTCGGATTGCTTCATCGGCTCGCGTAGCTTCACAAGATCTGGGCGTCCATGTTCGTAAACCTCCCATTTTGCGTACGCAAAAGCTTCTCCCCCATTCTCGCTATCCACAACCTTCAAGTGATGTACGTGAGGACTTTGGTCGAGATCTTTATGTAACGAAGCTTCCTGCTCTTCCACGTATCCCGGATACGGAGGAGGTCGTCCGATTACAAGGGATCCAAGGGAAGCCGTGCGACTACCAATGCAATCGGTCACGTCTGCTGCTCAACTGGGCGAACTACAAGCGGCATTTTGCAAAATTGGTTCAGAAACAGAAAGAGACCAACTAAAGTAAATGTTTGTGGTGGGCTGTCATTGAGAAGAGACACAGCCATATCCTGCCCAAAACGTTACTACGGGGGCCCACAGCCACCTGAAATGTCAAAATATTACAACAAGCTGAAAGGGGAAGCGAGGGATTCAGGGGCAGTGAATAGTAGCTGTCAGGATTATCCAGTCACATAACCACATATTTTGAGTTAAGAAGTTGAACTGTATTAAGCCCTCCAAAATTTCATTGCCAACAAGTGAAGAAGTAGAAGACCGAAGTGTAGATTCCCAAAAGAGCCACCATCCTCCGCGCCTGTTATCTGGTTGGGTCGTGGCATTCCAATTGGCGACGGCTCCCCATAGGAAAAATCGTTCATGTTGTCGAAAAGAATTTGATGAAATTCTCATTTAGTGAAGCACCAACGTCCAGTGTCTTGTGAGTAGCGAGAGTTTGTGCTTGAAGCTTTATCAAATGAGTTCGGCCTGAGCTTGCTAATATTTTGTTGGAATCTAGAGCCAATTTTATCGGCGATCATCTCTATTCATTGCTTTCATAGCAGTGAGCCGGACCAAAAGCTCAGCTGGTATGTAGAGGCTTTGATTGGCGGTGAAAAGGAGAGCTCATTACTTTCAGTGACGACCTAGTAGTGGAAAGCTGGTCATCTGGCACCTAGTATTGTTGAGACATACATTCCACACTATCCAATTAGCTAGAAATGATATTAGCAATAGAATTAGGGATCAAAACGGTATAACGAAGCGCTATAATGTCTTACTATCGTGCAAAATGATTCACTTGATAGACTATTCATCTCTTGCTACTGCCCCAAGCTCCTGAATCTATCCTGGGTCGTCGAAGGAGAAAAATATGGTTGCTAAGTGACTTGGAAGAGCCAAAAGGCTACATCAGTTATGGTTCTTGTATTTCTAAAATATTTTGAAGGGGAGAGACATACGTACTCCTTAGGCGAGTAACATGTTATTTGAGAAGCGAAGCAAGGGCTTCTTGATATGTTTGGTATGATAGGATGTAGATGCAGGCACAACAAACAGGTGGCCACCACCGAGAGAGGCAAATTTCTTCGTGCAGAATAAGGACTTAGTGCTCTATACCCCCGACTGAGCGAGGTGGGTTCTGTTCATACAATATGACGGGTGACTGTTTTTCTTCAAGAGAGCGACAGACTTTAAAGATTTATTGAAAAAGAAAGCTTGAGTATTAAGGAAGGAGGGCTGTATTTATAGATTAGCTGGAAGACTAGGGGGAAGTAGGCAGGAAACTGCGTAAGATTGTCACATTGTCTGATTTGTTGAGCATTGAGATAGAACGCGGTAAGATTCTTTTTGTAATATAGTCTGCATCTTCCATTGAGAAATAATCGGTGACCGCTATGCGGAGAGACGAGGCCGTCATAAGAGGATCAAGAGCCAGTTTCGAAACATTCCTTGAAAAGGTAGAAGAAAAAGTGATGCACCTAGTCTCACTTCTCGCAAATGCCTTTGGGTCTTCCAAATCAATGTGCCCTACCAAACTCCTCCATTGACTTGGAAATTCAAAAGGGAAGCAGTGGTTATCACAAAACCATCCACTCAAACGGTAGTCCAGTAAACAAGATAAGTAAATCCAAACTCCTCGTATAGTTTGATATGGAGCTTCGATGCTGCTAATCTTACTCAGAAAATACCATCCCAAGTTTGTATGCTTCAAAACTCAAGACAAAACAATTCCACAACTGACGACATTTCTTAATTCTTGCTTTTCTATCTATTCAGGACGAGTAGCGCTTGTGAGATACCGCTTTCCTGATTTTTTCCACGAACATCCTTCGAAGAGGAGATTGAAGTGAGGCATTAGCCAGTAGATATTGAAGAGGATGATCTTTATGAAATCAATATGAGTAGAGTGCACTAGCAACTATTCTCTTCAAAAGTGTCACATGCATGACGAACTGAGGTCTGAAAAGCTTCTTGCACTTACTAGGCCATGGTTTGCTATTGATGCGGTAGACCATAATAAAGTGACTTGTCTATCATCACTTCTGACTGAACCATGCTGTCAAAGGTCTTCAACTTTCTCTTGGTTTTCCTCAAATCAGGAAGGCCTGTGCAAGCGAGCTCTAGCCTTTTTGTCTTGCTCTTTTTCCTTTGATGGTTAAATATGTGCATGGAGATTGAGGAGAGTACTGTGCTGTAACAGCGGAACGGCGTAGGAAAAAAGTCGGTCCGATGTGAGGAAGGTCAGAAGAAGCAGACATCAAAGATTACAGAACAGAACCAATTCAAAGCTATATTAAAGACAATAATAAATGGTCTCTTGCTTAAATACATGATCTGTCAGACTTTGATATATTTAATATGTCTATTGCTAAGTAGAGGTAACTAATGTGAGAAACAATTTCTATCTGAGCGGAAATTGACTGGAACCGGAACCGGCGAAACCTTTCTCCACAAAGCCACCACCTCAATTGGCCGCAAAACAATCATCTTCCCCGTTCTCAACCCTTCAACATTTCGATCACGTCAACCTCTATGCACAACACTCTCACTCCTCAGTCATGTCCTAGAATGTGTGGACGGAACAGAAGCTCTTGAGCTGTAGCGACCAACTTAACGACTGGTCCAGCGACTGTCGTAGCGTCACAATCGTCAATCCATGGCTGGTCTCAAGTAAATCTTGTCTAGTGGACACGACTCCCACAAACCAGTAGTCAAAGGACCCTCCCGCTCAAAGAACTGCACCTTGAGGAACATATGCCTTCATATGAATTGGCTTCTATATCCATATAATATGACCAATCAACTTTTACCATCCTGGAAGACTGAAGTGAGAGGGAGAAACTTAATTGTGGAACCTCCAGTCAACAAACATTTCAAGACGGAAACTATCAAGCCTGTAAGCCCACCTCAGCTATCAATATATGAGTTCTGCTGAAATCTCCCATTGTAGCTATATTCGCAGAGCAAATTTCCCTCTTGATGCTCCTAGGATGTTGGAACCACTCTAGTGTTCGAAACCAGAGAGTCACAGTTGAGAATTTGATTTCAAACTTTGGTAGCGATCTTTTCCGGGAATTCCACCATATTCAGATGATATGTGTGTGGTAGTATGTTCTTTATTCTGGCACACCGCAGAGAAGATAATATACAATATTCGCAGCAGTATGGTGAGTATCGACCACTCTATCCCTTTCAAGCTTGAGATGTCTTCGAGATTACATGTATCCAGAGCGGGTGTGTGGACTAGAAACAACCGGACTAGGCAAGTGCCTGCTGTGGCAAGGTTGATGCCACGCATTCTTCGAGGAATGAAGCCTCGGAATCAGCCATCTATAGCCATTTTCTCGAAAACATCCCCATCGTGGACAGAATATCGATATATCGCGGTATACATTGTGCCAGCTCTTTTTTGCAAAGAAACGGCGAGTGGTCCAGATGGGACTCTTCCGGAGCTCCCCAGCAAGTCTGGAGATAGCCCTCTTATTTCTCTTGATGCAACAACAGAGCATCAGCAGAGTCTTGCTTTGGCTGATGTAGCATTGCCGAGGCCTTTCAGTAAGGAGAAGGCACTGGATCTCGGAATCTGGTCAAATCATAACAACTTGTCGGATTTCCTATTCCACTTGCTCCTTGTTCTCGTCTCTCGCTGAATGCGCACCCTCGCGTGTCTCTGCTTGCAACATTATATACACCAGGCTTTCTTTGTATGTTCCTCAGGGGGTTGTGATTGTTGGTTTCGATAGGCAAGGCGCCTTTGAATAAAGAGTCAGTGAAGAGCACAAGATTCGAGTTCTCGGACCTACAGAGAAGTATCTTCCGAACTTTCTGTGGTGTAATGGACCCCAGGCGCTCATACCGTCTTGGTTCATGTACGGAATGCCGATCATGATTCTGGATAGTGTCCGTTTCTCTGGTTGTGTATTTGAGCACCTCTGAGCACCTCTGAGCACCGCTGAGCACCAGAAGCTTTGGTATGATATTTGACAGGCGTTGAGTCCCGAATCAAGACTATTGTTGACAGACGTGCCTTCTCTGAGGGCAGTTGGTGTAAGGTTTCCCAGAGACTTTGGAGACTGGTACACTGGTCTACGAATGTACCTTGCGAGGCACTTGGTTTGGATGCCGGAAATCTTCTGCCAAGCGGTATTTCGAGAATTGCTGGCCTGCCACTCCAGGAGACGGACATTTGAACCCGGTGCTATTTATACCAAGTGGTAGTTTGAAAGTCGCGGGACTGCCTCATTACTTGCCGGAGTCTTGTCACTGTCGGGCGATCGGATCGGTGGACTGGGTACGCTTTTTCTGTCGAGGAGTGGTTCTTGTTGAGAAGGAACAAGGAGGGAGACCATGGTTTCATTCTATTGGTGTAGTTTTGTTTCTTCGATGTTGTATATGGTGCGCTTCAATTCTGGTTCAGTAACTCTGGTGGACTCGAGAATTCCTCCGACCGACAGTTTATCACGTGACAAATGATAGCCGAGAAAGTGAAGAAAGGGGTAATACCCTTTACTTCAGTTTCGCTCTCTTTTGGCCTTAGGAAAGCTCATTTTTGAGGATGGCAGCCAGTAGATTGTACTTGCAATTAGCTTTCATCGTTCTACAAAACAAGGAGCCTGACTCTGCGCCCTTTCAGGATAGGAATCTACCGGTATGCGGTCAGTGGTTGGGAGACGGAGACGTGCACGTGACTTTCAGGTTTGAACGTCAGTTCAATGTCTATGGTGTATGTTTTCGCAATCAATGAGCAGGCCTTTTGTCATAGCTTGGGCTGTTCAATGCAAAGTATATGAGATTGGAATCAGTAGCACTCTGCCTCGAAGATGCGCTGGGCAGCTGGAAGCGTTCGTGTTGGCGTTGCCGCAAGGCGAGTGTGATATTAGCTTTGCGATGCTCTTCTCTCGAGATCAGAATGTGTAGAGGTAGCTTCTGTTTTTCTTCATTGTATCAAGCTCTCTGGCAAATCCAAGCCACTGCTTGTACCGCGGGACACGTTGAATCCTCTGCCTGGTGGGCTCTTGGTGTTGATGCTACCACAACACATCTTGAGCTTTGAGAACAAGCGTTCTTGGTTGTGGCTTTTCTCTTACAAGCTTCTACGTGGGCAATATCAATCTTCAAGTTACTGTAGATACAAATAGAGCCTCCAAGTATTCTCCTTCAGAGTCCTGCGCTCTGTAGAGTTGGTGTTGCGCGCCGCGGTGGGCAGAGCCCAAAACTTCGCACAACTACGCGGTTTATCAAAATTACCAGCTTCCGCAACGAAAGCACCATCTCCACGTCTCACAGCTTGTTCAAAAGAGAATGGAAAGCTTGTATTCATCTGTCTTTTATCTACAAAGTCTTTCTTGATAAGTCTACATGTCCTACGTCCCCGTTTTCCCTTCTCGTCTACGATGTTGTAGCGGGTTGAAAGCGTCGAGGCAGTCAACCTCGCGGCCCCGCGAGCCTTTCCCCTGCAATTTCTGATCCTAATCACTGCCATCACTGCAATCAACAACAGCCCACTTGCACAGCCTACTCGGAACCTGCTGATCCCGCTGTTCCAGCCGCTTCTACCGTCAACTATTGATTCATACCTTTGATTAGACTTTGTCTTATCTCCCTTGACGTCTTGAAATCAGCCAATCCCATGCCTTTGATCTGGCATACCGCCCTGGACTGACGGCTTTGGATGTGGGATTCCGAGTTTTGATCAAACTGATCACGGAATCAGCCAATCCGAGGCCTTTGATCTTGGTGTGCCGCTTTGGATAGACGGCTTTGGATGTGGGATGGCGTAGTTTGATCAAACTGGTCACGAGCCGGTTTGATCAAAAATTTTTAGCGCAGTGATTACCGCTCGCTTCCTGGATTCCTCTGGGTATAAGTATCTCCCCTTCCCCCTCTTGCTGGCCTTCTTTTTTCTACATCGACAAGCTCCTCGGGTCTCTTACGACTGATGGCCTCGGCCATAACCACTGGGCTTCCCACCCGGATAACGATCAAATGAATCCTGGGTATGTTTTTCGTCCCCTTTCATGTTACCCTCTTTCTTTTTCGTTCTGTTGTCCTCTTTCTTCGGAACGTTTTGCCTCGATGGTAGCTCCTACTTCGGCCACAGCTCCTGTTCCGACAGCAGTCTCGTTTTTGAATTCTTCAAGTTCAGATGACAATGCTAACAATTGGTGTAGTGGGAGGCCCAGCCAGCTCCAACTCAGCTGGTCAGGGGCAAGTGATGGGCTTCTCACCGAAGAACGACCTGATGAACACTGGGTATGTTCTTTCCCTCCCCCTCACCTTCAGATGACAATGCTAACAGTTGGTGTAGTGGGAAGCCCACCCATCAACCAAGCCACAAACGCGACAATCGCTTGCTCTTGGCCAGCTGATACTCACCTCTCTCATGACCCGCACCATGTCCATCCTCAACTCATGTTCGAGTACTGTGGTCCTTTCCAAACATGTACATCACTCCTCTTCTTCCCCCTTCCCCCTTCCCCCTTTCACCGTTTCCATTTATCAGCTAACACTCGCGTCAGACTTACCAAAAAACACAAAACCACAAAAAAACTCGAAAAACCAAAAAACACAAAAAAAAACATTCACAACATGTACATCGCCCCTCCTCTCACCCCTTCCCTTCCGCTGTTTCCATTTCATTGCTGACGTTTGCATAAGACTTACCCAAAAAAAAAAAGAATCACAAAAAAAACACAAAAAAACACAAAAAACGAAAAAAAATCAAAAAAAAGAGAGGGGGGGGAGAAGAGGGGGGGGGACTGGTAGCTGGAGAACTGACTGCCAGTCAAAATCCCCCTTGCCATTACCCCCCTCAGCAGAGAGAGGTGGACACCACTCTGCGCCAGATGACTGGTAAGTACCAACTCCCTCCATTCCCTCGAGACTCCAGCTAACAACCCCTCCAGTCCCTTCCTCACGTCTATGCAGATGCAATGGGTGCCGACCTGACCCACCAACGACTCCCGTAACCTTCACTCCCATCCTCTCATCACATAGTTGGGTCGGGTCGGGTTGGTCGCCCTATTGCATGTGGGGAGGAGGACGGTCACTGGTAGCACAGTTTGGTGGTGGGATGGCGGCAGTGGGGGGTGGTGGTTGGGCTTCGGGGTGTGCTTTGGGATTTGGTAGCTTATGGGTTTTTGTATTCATTTTTGGGGGTGTCATGTCATCATGTATCTGGGGTTGTCATTAATGAAAATATTTTATCTCTCATTTTTTGTGTGTGTTTCTTGCTTTTGATGTGAAGTCGCTTATGAATTGTGTGTGTGGCTGGATAGGTATGTGGGTGTTGATGTGTGATGTGTGATGTGACTTGGTATTTTATGAACCTTGGAATGTTCATCATGTTCATCATGGCTACCTATGTACTTGGATGCTCTTACTGTGTGTGTTTGTCCTACATAAATCCATCCATCCATCTATCCATACATTACTCCCTCCATTCCTCCATTCCTCGCCTAACCATTGACCCCATCCCTCCATCTATCTCTCTCTTTCCAAACCTCCAGACTCTACTATCCCACCAACTTTAGAAGTACACTTCCCACCACCTAAAATCCACAACCCAAGTAACATCACCCCTCCAAGACACATACACGCACACACACACATTCCCAGTATCCCCATATCCGCTTATCCCCATATCCGCTTATCCCCTCATCCCCCTATCCTCACATCTCCAACCAACTTCCAAGTCCTAACTCCAACCACATCCTTACACCACCAAATCCCAAATCCCAAATCACGTCACTCTACGAGTCCACGTACAAGTACTACATCCTGATACAAGATCCAGAGAAAATTGCAAATGTATTCATCTACCCTTCTATCTATCTCTACTCTAAAACTTACAAATTTAGTACTCTATCGTCTAAATACTATAACCCCCAGTAAGAACACTGTATTACCAAATCTAAGTAAAACTACTTATTTAAGACCAACTACCGTTCGGAATAAGAAGAGTAGGGTAGGGTAGGGTAGAGTAAGTATGTATGTATGTAGTGGATTCTACTCTACTCAAATGAAGTACCCAAGTAGTCATGTAGTCAAGCTTACTTCTCCACTCTCCTCACGACTACTCAAGTCCTTAAGTACTACTTGATTACTCGTATCTTTTCTTAGAACACTCTTAAATCCATCCATCCACACATGTACATTCCTCCTCTTATCCCCTACTCCTCCAACTATATCCAAGTCCCAAGTCCCAACTTTATCCTAACTCTAACTCCATCCCCAACACCCCTTATTCCCTTATTCCCTTATCCCCCAACCCCAATCATACACTCCACGTATACTTTCACAAATCCTCTTTCTATACAACTCACCTCTTTAATCACCTCCTACCTCCCTAAACAACGACACGACGACCCACAACATAAAACTCCCCATCACCCAACACACCCTCAACTTCCGCGGCACCTTGGTGCCGAGGTCATCCAACCATCCTCTACTCTACTCTTCCCCGCTATCCACCATCCACCATCCCACACGAGACGAGAGAAACCCCAGGAACCCAGTAACCCAGGAACCCAGGAGCTTAGAAACAGGATAGGAACCCATGAGGTAGCCTCAGGTAGGTAGGTAGGTAGATATAACATGGGTAGAAGACATATTATCAAGTACTCTCCCCATCACCCACACACTCTAACACCCTCACACAACCTCTACAACCACATCATACCACATCACACCCCCCAAAAGATTAAAACCAAAACCAAAAAGGAGAAATCTTAATAAAGTCAAAAAACACCACATCAATTATCCATATTCCCCACTATCTACTATACTCTATGTACCATCCCTGAACCCCCTTCCCCGCACCTACCCTTAAACCCCAAAAACAGCTCAATCACCACAGCAATCATCACCAACCCCAAGGAAAAAGCACCACGCCACAGCACGACAATCCCATGAATACATAATCAATCCACCTCGCACTCGCTCTGGTTCAATCAATCAATCAACTCTCCTCATTAAAGCTTCCCGCAATCCCCAGTGAGAAAGAAGAAAGAAGAAATTTCAAATAACAAGACAAAGAGATATTGTTACGCTAAACAAAAGTCGCCCCTCCTTCCAATCCTACCCTATCCTATCCTATCTATATTCAACCCCCCCCCCACCTCAAGGTACCCAAACTTGCCAACGTCCTATTTTCTCATCCGAGCTTCCAACGGGCCAGTGTGTGCCATGCATGCTTCGAACCAAACCAATATACAAAATAGAAAGATATTCACAAACAGAAAGGAAATGGAGCAAGTACAGGAGCATTCTACTTGTCCAATTAGAACCAAAAAAAAAAGAAGAAAAAAAGGAGGAAATCCTGAACCCTAGCGCCGCGCCAATGCTATGCAGAAAGAAAACAATGAGCTCGTGGCTCCGTTGTGCCAATCAAAAGACAAAAAGAGACAACAAATCCAAATTAATCCATCCGAATGCAATGATGTGCTGTGTAATGTAAAAACCTCCGTGATGAATGATGCGCTTTTGATCGTGTTTTCGGAAAAAAGAGGACATGGAAGAATAAATATGCCCGCCGAATGATGTATGTCGTTAAAAGTACGATATTCTGAATGCGAATAAGATGTGTATATACTTTCGAAACGCACAAGCCCCCTTTGTGCTTAACCGAGTCTCCGAAATCCTTCAATCCCCAGCGTTGGGACTTCCACCCATCGCAGTGATGGCACACCTTCGGCTCTGCGCCGATCAACAAAGTTGTTACACTCAGCAACGATTAAAGCCCATTCCGCCAATGCTCTGCCGGCATATTTCGCTCGGGTGATCCTGTCGCCTCTCCTCGAAGCGCCCGGGGAGTCTCCCTCTACGTCGCTGGGATCCTTTGGAAGGACTTCGCGACTGATGCCTGGAACTCTGGCTCCTAGCCATGCTTGAGCTGCCGCCGGTAGTCTTGGAGGAGACAACCGTCTCTCTGTGCCCACATTAAATCCAACCACGCCTCGAGGTCCAGGAGCAATTCCATTAGCTGAAATTTGAGCTTGTGGTTTCTCAAAATGCTGGCTCCACTCCAAGCTGAACTTGAAGCTGAACGCTCTATGGGTACTTGTAGATGGAGGAGTTTCACTATCAGAACTTGATTTCTTAGAATGAAGCTGTGGTCTTGTACGTGCAATGGCAGTCTCCCGACGTGCCTCATCAAGGCTTTGGGTTTTTGCAGGCGAATTTGCAGCAAGAGTCGCTGACGGTGTGAGCTCTGATGAAGTAGACATGGAAGGCAGGACTTTGCCAATAAAAGTCCATCGTTTTTTCGAAGAGGGAGGCGAGTCCGTTTTCACTGCAGGAGTTGTCGAATCGGCTGGTTCAGTCAGGGCCAAATGAGCAAGAGAGGAGTGACGCTTATATGCTGTGGGCTGAGTAACTCCGGTTGTTGGAGAGGCAGATGTATTAGATGTCAATCCATCGAATCCAAGGAATAAATTGGAAGCAGGGGCTTGGTTGTCATTCCTAATTATAAGAAGACGACGGCCTGGTGCCGGATGACATGGAGCGGATGATGGCGGTAGTGCATCTGTCTTTTCAGCAACTTGTTTGAGATGCAGGTAATGTGCCCAGCAAGCTTTTATACGTGCGGAGACAATAGAGAAGACTTTCGTGTCAAGAGCGGAAGCCTCTCCGTCATCTCTACATAGTCTCCAACACAGGAGGCGCATGAAATAGGCTCTGACCATTGGGCACCAGTGGCAGAAAAATCGCACAAAAGTACCTTCGGTCAAGAGCCAATCCATGCAGATTATCTCCTTTCTACGCTCGTCGCTCGCAATCAAGTTCCACGCCCCGAACAAAAACGCAAATAAGCGAATTTCAGACATGCTGTTCTCGCTTTCGAGCATCTTCTTGCAAACATCCATCCAAAAGTACCAATCAATGTAGTCAGTCTCCAAGACATTTGCAAGGCTGAATCGGATGTATATCCCCAGTGCTTCTTCCATAAAGTCGCACATTATAAAGCAGGCATGGTGGTTGTACAGTGAAGTACTTCGAGCAGTAGCTTGCATCATTTTGCCAAATGTCTCAGCGAATGTCAGTCGGGCTACTTCATAATCCGAAGGACGCTCAGATATGAAATCCCGTAGAAGCATTATTAGTCGATTTTCCCCCATCGGCCTGGACGAGTTGTTGGAAGGTAGCGGGAGGGCAGCAGCAGTTGCATCAGCTCCGGCGAGAACATCATCAAATGTAATGGGCAATGGATCTACTACAGGCTGTCGATGGACCGTGCCATCTAAGGCAGTCAAGACCTGTGCTTGGACCAAAAGAAATCCTATTGAAGCAGGTTAGCCAGATCTTGTCAATGCCAAAGGGGAATGTTCTGCATACCTGGAGCTCGAGCTTTACTAAGTAGGGGAAGAGCCGCTGGTAAAAAGTCCTCTGCTAGAATGTGGTAGTGCTTTACAAAGACGAAGAATAAATCACTATCTCGCCCACACCATCTAGCCATCCAAGGACCATACCATGGAATTTTCGCAACCATAACCGGCAAGAAAGGATTTGAGCGCAGATGGGTTGACATGGACTTGACGGAAGTCCAGCCTAGACCATGAATATGGGAGGGGAAAACGGCTATCACTTCGTCTGTGTCAACCTTGTTGGCCTTCCTAGGCATTCCTAACTCATCTGAGACCCTTCGAAGTGTGTCTGCGGGTATTTTCCAAACTCGAGCCAAGACCTCAGCAACTCCAGGTACGAAAAAGAAAGCATAAGCGGTTGCTTTCCCACAGAACGTCACAAGACTCGCGGGCGCATGTCGCAATGACATTTTTTCGACCACAAAATTCATTTGAGTGAGCAGGTTGTGAATGAACATGTTGCGGGTGTTATGATGGACTGACTCGGCCATGAATTGAGTAACTGTGGTTTGCAGGGAACCAGAAGATCTTTTCTTTGGAAGAGGTCTACCCTCCGGGGGCACATATGCTGCACGTTCTGATAAAGGCGCAAACTGTGAAGGGCAATACCTCCATTCTGGACGGACCATAATAGCATAGCATGCATCGAGCAATATTGGCCGATCAACTCCGCTCACTGTCTGGTTCTGCCTGCCATCTAGTACTTCCAAAAGGCCCGTCCACCATTTATTCAAAATATTGACCCTTCGATCCAAATCTTCAGGTCGTAGGTCTTTGTTGGATGGGTGGGACGCATGGTTCCGTAAGAAAGGAAGAAGTGAGGCTCGAACCACGTTCGTTTTCAATGACCAGGTTTTCGATTGGAACTTCGAGAAATCATTTTCGATAGATCGAAACGCGGACCAGAGCTCATCTCGCCTCTTCGCATTATTAGACCCCAGAAGTTGAAGCTTTTCGGTAGACGGAGCAGTTGGTAGTGGCGGGACCTTGTCAGTCGACGTCCTTGGGGTTGATCGATTGTCAATAGAGCTGCTTGGCAGACTGCTGGTAGAAGAATTGGTGGATTTTGTGAGGTTCATAAACACGCTCTGCGGCCGCTGTCTCATTTTCGACAAAGTGCCTGATCTTGTGACAGGAGGCACTGGGAGACTATCCATGGTTTTGCTTCGTCGATTCTTGTCCAGCTTGGGATTCAGCACAGTTGGTCGGCGGCTTACACCGCCCCCTTGTGAATCATCCACTTCACAATCAATGCCCTTTTGTGCTTTCCGGCGGCTCGGTGACGGGGACCTCGATGGATTCATCCATGACTTCCTAGCAAATGTTGCAAATGACTTTGTTTTGTTATCTCGAACAGCCTTCGAAATCGTAGGAACTGGAGGGGCATCCGGTGGTGTTGTAATGATTGTCTCGGAAGACTTGACCCTTTCTGGAGATCCCTTGACCCTCTGTATCCAAGATTTAGGTCGAGCCACGAAAGACTTCCTCCTCCCTATCCTCTCTGGTTTAGAATTTTCATCCGGCTTATCTTTCGACGATCGATGACTGGTATTCGGATCTTTCTTTTTCAACGTCTGAATTTCCTTGGTGGTATTCAGTTTCGGCAAGCTCTCTACTCTCTCCAAATCCTTCTCTGATGGCAAATGAGGCTCTATATTCGGGATGCAATCATAGCTCGCAGAACGTGGGAGGTCATCATCTGGACTGGAAGGTTGCTTGTAGTCTTTGATGACCAGCTCGGGAAGGGTTGGGGACGAATGCGAACGAGTAAAGGATGGGGTCGGGTCAAATGCCGCTGGCATTGTCAACGTGGGACCTTGCATGGCAGCTCAATGGGCTGGGAAACGAGTGTGGACTAGATTGTCATTATACTGTGAACCACAGTTGAGAGAACTTTATTTTTTCTCGTTGGTTGCTTGGGGGGGAAGGATCGCGTTGGGGGCATCAGAGTTTCTGACCAGCAGAGCAGCAGAGCAGAACAGAGAACTGGACAGCAATTTTCGAGGGTGAGGCTGAGGAGGCACAAGAAGGGAAGGGACCCGGTGGCGGTGGTGTTTTGGTGGTGGAAGTAAGAATCGAAAGTCAGTTCCCAACTCCGGGATTCCTGTCCCAAAAAATTGCTGCGCGCTGAAACAAGGCAGTCGGGATGGCAGCGGATGCAGGAATGGAGTGCAGTGCGGAGCAAAGGAGCAGCGCAGCACCAGACCCAATTATATTAAAGGCAAAAACAAATGGAAGAGGACAAGAGCGTACGGTATGTTGTATGTACGTGTTGGTGGAGGCTGCGCGTTGGGAAGGCAATCCGAAGAATTGGTCGAGTATCAAGCAACGCGGGTGAGAGCTGTCGGGTCGCAAGTAAAGTAGTGGGCTGTACGAGTAGCGAGCGACGATGCAGGATTGTCTACGCCTTCCACGTCGTCCTTCCTCTCTATCTTCGCGCACACAGCAATCGGTTCAAACGAATGTGAAGGGATAGTTGGTGGGAGAGGCCAACCGCAGAAACGACGTCAATGAAGTGGTAAGTGGTGGAGTAGAGGTGGGAGAGAAGAACCAAAGGTGGTGGTGGTGGTGGTGGTGGTGGTGCAGAGTGAGGGGAGCTACTCTGGGTACTCTGCAAGTCTGTATGAGTACTCGTACCGTACTGCGACAGATTTGGAAAGGAGTGAGAGGGCCAAGCCACTTTTGGGTGGGCAAACCGTGACAAGCCGTGCAACCCGGCTGATCGGTCCTGAGGCAAAGCCAACGGTTTTATTTTCGGAGTGGAGATGATATGGATAGTCGATAGATATCACTGGACACCCCATTCAGACCAGTCTCAGTCAGCCAATCTCTTTGTGCCATCACTAAATCCTCCCAAACCGGCCGAGTAGGGCCCCCTATAATTTCGAATATGACCGAGTTGCAATACACTTTCTAGAAAACCCGGTCAGTGTCATTACACTATCGAGCTGGACCCGAGAGATCAAGATATCGCGACAGTGTTTCTCTAGCGGCCGCTGCAACATAGCACGAAACTACGAGACACCCGTAGGAGACAACAACGTGCTGGTCGAGCTGAAAACACGTTGTCCGTTGTCCTACAGTTGTGTGAGAGATAGACAAGACACCTATCGTCAGCCTCAGGGGAAACGAGAGGCATTTGATAAACACGATCACTGGATCAGGTACCTATGGTGGGACCGTACTCAAGAGATCACAAGTCTTGATATCCATAAGAACTACTTAGCATTTTTTCTCTCCGTGAGGTACAAAGCGCAACTCTAATTTCCAACGTTTACCTAGACCCTGGACCCTACTTCTAGCCGAGCTAGCCAAGCTTGATAAGGGGTTCCACTCTCGTCTACTCGACAGTGCGGTGCAGACCTCATCCAACAACACCTACGAATCGTGTACCCTCACAATATTGTTGGGGTTAGGCGTCTCGGATCTTTACTCCCAACCAACGTAAGCTTATCAAGAGCCGCGTGAGGCTTTTTTAAGCTCCCGCCCGTTGGCCTTGTCCAAGAACTTCTGCGGCATTCGCTGTTCATGTCAAGATATTGCTTTCCAACACATCCGATCCCTAGTCATAACAACGCCTCTTGCTGCAGTTCTAAATGCCACCGACAGAAAAGAAATTATATACGGCGTAGCATTGTGGGATTTGGCCTGAGAGTCTTCTTTACCAAACAAAAGCAGCCTTTGGAAGACTGGAAGACGCAAGTTTCGACCAATTACCCGGCCTGGCACAAAACAACCCATGAGTTGATCTCGGCACTTTTGAGGGGACAGACAGGATTTAGAACCTCGTGGGTTGCAACCCCCGGTCAGCAGAATATATTTATTGTGCAGGAAAATAAATTGGGTAGACATGAACTGAACCTCAAAGGAGGAAATCTGTCTTCTGAACTACAGAAGGCTTGGTGGACGGAAAACTCTTGAATTTTAAGCTCAGTTCAAGGTTTGGGATCTCCAGTCTAAAAATAGGTAACCTTACTCGAGTACTCATAACTCAGTGGAAACCAGCCCAGGCGGGCAATCCGTCTCATGATCACGTGCTTGTCACATGCCCAGCTTCAATATAACATCTGATGAACACCCAAGAAATGAGGTAAAAGTGATGATTCGTAAAAGTGGTTCTGTCTTCGTGATCGAAAATGATGTCGTGAAACAAAATTTCCAAGACTTCTCATGTGGATCAAACAATAGAAAGGTCCGTTACGAGATCCACCTTCATATGGATCGGAGTAGATGATCCGAGATCCGACCTCAGCTACTTTCAGCCTTGCGGCTAGATAACAATCAACACCATACTAACCCCTCCGTCTCTATCTCTGGCCAGAGCCCCTCTACTCCACGAAAGACCTCCCTCGTTACAATCTGACCGCCATGAATCAATTGCCCACCGAAGTACTCGGCCTCATCCTTGGTTGGGATGTGACCATGAGCCGCATCGACAAGAATTCCCTCCTCCCACTGCGCCTGGTCTGCAAAGGCTTCGACAATGCCCTTCGCCCCTACCTCCTAAAGACGATCAAGTTTGAATACGGCTGCTTTCAGCGGAATAGCAAGATGGATGTGGGGTGCCTGGAAGAAGTGGGCGGTTTATGCGAGGCCATTTTTGTGGATATGATGGTTATACGGGATGAGGAGGAAATCGCACGTCTTTCCGAAATATTTCAAGGCCTCATCTCGAAAGTCCCCGAATTGGTGGCTACCCTTGCATCTTTGCGCAAATATTGCATGGATGAATCAACCTTTGATGTGACGGATTACCATCGAGTGTTAAAGGTAATGGCGTACCCTACTTTATATACAAAGTTGGCTAATCCCTATCGTAGAATGCCCTCAAACATCTTCCAAGAATGAGACGCCTCAAGGTCAATTTACCATATCAAATTATTGGATCCCAAGGTTCTCCATCGACTCTCCTCTTAGCGACCACTCTTGCATGTCTTGCGAAGCGAGACGAAGATCACGCCGTTCTCGAGACGCTGGTTATCGATCATGTTAGTGATACAGCAGTGAACAACATCTGCAACAACCCGATGGATCTGAACAATGCAATCGAAGTTCTGGGGGGATTGAAGAATTTGGTATTGTCTGTGAAAAGACAGGAATGTCGTTCCTTGAATTTCAACAAAAACCTCTGGTTCTTGATCCGAAAAGCTGATATTCTGGAAAGTCTGTGTTTGATTGGTTGGAATGTTCGAAGAGACTCCGTAACCCGAAGACATCGCCACCGAGTACCTCTAAATGATTGGAGAATGCGCTCTCTGCCATACCCGTTGGATTCGTCGCAAAACTTCACGAGTTTGAGGTACCTCGAGCTCAAACGGGTTGATATCGATCCGCACGAGTTTATTACACTAATCCTTGACTGTGCCAACACCTTGAAGGAACTTTACATAATAGAAGTTTATCTCAAAGTATATGGAGCTTCAGATCTTGACAATATTTCCTTGTGGATTGGCCACCCCAATGCAGAGAAACCACAACCGGCTTGCTGGATTGCTCAAAGTCTACGAAATATGCGTCATCTAAAACTTGACATCTTACGGGCTTCGGGTCTTGGATATGATGACTTTCAACCCAATCAAGCTTCAAGATATCCCGATTATGATTTAGTATCCACGAAGAGCGATAACAAAACCTTTGACCAACGATTTGTCGAAGCTGTCATGCAGCCCGAGATTGCCGCCAAAGAGCAGGAAAACCCAACACCATCGTCATCGGAAGAAGAATCAGAAAATGTAGCCGATGATTCGACCAGTGCACCCGAAGCACACATCACAGAAGAGATTCTTCCCACATTAGATTCACCCCCTCTACACGTCGTCAGCGAACCACAACCCACCAAATCCATTCCGCCCAGACCGAAACCACGAATGGTCGACTACGACGCAGAAGCCTTTCAAAGATACCACAACACGACTTCCAAGTACAAACGCAGTATTGACGACTGCTTCTACAATCATAATGAACATGCCCTGCGGGAACTGCAGAATCTTATTAACGTCGCGGATCGCGGGATGGCGCTTATTAGTGAGGAGATTGAGAGGTATAGAGCTGTACAGGTGGATGAGAATACGGGGCAGTTGGGGAATCCTTAGATGAGCGGTGGGGAAAAGGTGTTGATGGGTCCTATTGTATTTCGGCGCGCTGTACTGGGGTTTGTTGTAAATGATGGCGTGGATTGAGGGGTTTGGGTTGGAGGCGTGCGATTTGGGGATCTGGGGTAACTTGAAATGAGGAGTTTTGAAATGTTTTATGATGATGGAATGTAGCACCCCTTTTTCCTTCTTTTTCTTTTTTTTTTTGATTGATTGATTGATGTATCAATATACTACGTTTAACTGAAGATGCCGTTTTGTTTTGTCTTGTTTTGTCTTTTTTGATTTGCGGATCCTAGTTATGCACTCACTCACTCGCCCCAATTGATGTGGTTGAACTTCACTAGAAGAAGGAGGAAGAAGATCACCTCTGATCAATCCTCTTGTAAGCTTGTAGTGGGGGGGGGG